CTGGACTTCCAATTGACAGTCGACTGGTATCTGGGGTGAAGACAGTGGTACCTGGATTTATTAGTAGAGGGGATCCTCTACTTGGAACACTATGAGGGAAAGGGATTACATAATGCCTCTTTAGAGTGCCTCTCATAATTAAAATACTTCTGCACTTAAAGGTGTAATCTCTATTATCTGGAAAGTTTATCTACCTGGTGTTGTACCTGGTGGATCCAAATCTGTGAGGCTGTTTAATCTAAGGTACCTCCCAGTGGGCTCCTCTTTCCAGCTGAAGTTTTGCCTGTCCAGAGTAGTCCCTCCCTGACTGTCTTTTGTCATTGCAGAGTTGACACTGCTAGAAGAGGTACCCGCTCAAAGGTGAAGTCCACTAAGCTGCTTGAGGTTCTGAATGCTTTGGAGGAGGAAGAGTCTGGCAACAACAGGGAGGAGATTTTCATTGCGCCTCCTGACAATGCTGCAGGGGACTTCACAGATGAGGATTCTGGGGATGAAGATGGCCGGCGAGGTGCTCAACTGCCTGGCAGTATGCTCCATGCGTCCGTTGTGTCTGAGGACTCTGGCACTGGGGAGGATAATGATGACCTGGAGCTGCAGCCAGCCAAGAAGAGGCAGAAGGCAGTAGTGGAGCCTCAGCATGTCTGGACCAAGAGAGATATTCGACCAGAGTTTGGCAGTTGGACAGCATCAGATCCGCACATTGAAGACCTCAAAAGCCAGGAACTAAGTCCCGTAGGCCTCTTTGAATTGTTTTTTGATGAAGGAACAATTAATTTCATTGTTAATGAAACCAATCGTTATGCTTGGCAGAAGAGTGTCAACCTGGGTCTCACAGCCCAGGAATTGAAGTGTGTTTTGGGCATTTTGATTTTAAGTGGGTATATCTCCTATCCAAGGAGAAGGATGTTTTGGGAAACCTCTCCTGACTCACATCATCATCTTGTAGCTGATGCAATTAGAAGGGACAGATTTGAACTGATCTTCTCATACCTCCATTTTGCAGATAACAATGAACTTGATGAAAGTGATAGGTTTGCCAAGGTCAGGCCCCTTATCGTCAGGATGAACTGCAATTTCCAGAAGCATGCTCCCTTGGAAGAGTTCTATAGCTTCGGTGAGTCCATGTGTGAATACTTCGGGCACCGGGGATCCAAGCAGCTGCACTCAGGGAAACCTGTGAGACTTGGCTACAAAATCTGGTGCGGGACAACCAGCAGAGGATACTTGGTGTGGTTTGAACCTTCACAAGGCACATTATTCACCAAGCCAGACAAGGGCTTGGATCTCGGAGGCAGTATGGTCATAAAATTTGTGGATGCGCTTCAGGAGCGTGGCTTTCTGCCATACCACATATTTTTTGACAAGGTTTTTACAAGTGTCAAATTGATGTCCATTTTGAGGAAAAAGGGGGTGAAGGCCACAGGAACTGTTCGTGAGTATAGGATTGAGCGATGTCCCCTCAAAGATCCCAAAGAGTTGAGAAAAATGAAGAGAGGCTCATTTGATTACAAAGTTGACGAGAGCGAGGAGATCATTGTGTGCCGCTGGCACGACAGCAGCATGGTCAACATCTGCTCCAATGCTGTGGGCATAGAGCCAGTGAGGCTGACTAGCCGTCACTCGGGAGCAGCCAAAACACGAACTCAGGTCCACCAGCCATCACTGGTGAAGCTGTATCAGGAGAAGGTGGGGGGTGTTGGCAGGATGGACCAGAATATTGCCAAGTACAAGGTGAAGATCCGGGGCATGAAGTGGTACTCGAGCTTCATTGGCTATGTTATTGATGCTGCCCTCAACAATGCATGGCAGCTGCACAGGATCTGCTGCCAGGATGCACAGGTGGACCTCCTTGCCTTCCGGAGATATGTTGCCTGTGTGTACCTAGAGAGCAATGCTGACATGTCCTCACAAGGGAGGAGAAGCAGGCGGCTGGAAACTGAGAGCCGCTTTGATATGATTGGGCACTGGATTATCCACCAGGACAAGAGGACCCGATGTGCCCTCTGCCACTCACAGACCAACACCCGGTGTGAGAAGTGCCAGAAAGGCGTCCACGCCAAGTGTTTTAGGGAGTACCACACCCGGTGATGGCAAAGGTGTGCTTGTTTTGGTTTATAATGGGGTGTCTACAGATAATTACATCCAGTAGTTAAAGCACTTCTGTTTTATTTGTGTAGGAAAAAGGACCTGAATTCTCAATGACTTGGTTTTGTATTTTCTCCTTATCCCCATTATTATTATCTTTTTTATTATTGTATATGCCTACATGAAATATAAAGTAGTGTTTATGTTAGGAATCATGAATGTTTGCAAATCTGTATTTTGTACCATTATTTATTTAAACTTATCCAAATAAATAAAAATCTTGCTTTGGGGTATATTTAAGTTCTGACAAGAATGATCAAAGAGGCCAGTTGCGGGAGCACACCCCTGTAATCACCCATAATCACAGTGATTAGGGAGGCTAAGGCAGGAGGATTGAGAGTAAATAAAATACAAAATAGGGCTGGAGATGTGGCTTAGTAGTTGAGTGCCCCTGGGTTCAATCCCTGTACTTCTCACCACATAAAAAGAATAATCAAAGAAAAACTGTATGAATGGCACAAAGTTTTACTATTATATGCCATGGTTTGTTATCTAAAATATAGGCCATAGTATATATTTCTTAATTATTTATTTCTTATTACTTAAGACTGTCCAGGGATAGTTAATTCACTTTGCATTTATTCAGAGTGCTAGAGTTTCCAAGTTCATATTTTCTTGATAAAAATATTTCCCTAATGTACATATATATGGAATCTATTTTTATAACCAACACAACATAGGATGTTCAGCATAATTTGTTAAGAGCCATATGTATTTTCCACTTATTTAAAGCCCAAATTTATAAATTCCTGAGCTTAGGGTGAACTTATTGAAGTAAGGAAACATTTTTATATTGGAAAACCTGGTGTGCATTCCAGAATATTAAAAGATATACATGTAAAAATTGTGCATAGAAGTAAGCTCAAGAGCAAGTTGAATATCTTTTCTTTGGGAAAGAAAATAGCAGTACAAATGAAAAAAGCACCCAACAATATATTCAACTGTATAGAAGTATAAAATTTACATTCATTCATTAAATAGCAAAGAAATTGAGAAAATATGTTCCAAGTTATTGCATTTATAATAATATCCCCAGTGAATAAGGACCTCAAAAACAGATGGCACGAGAAAAATGTGAAGTGTTGTATAAAAAGACAAATGATGGAAATGAGAAATGAACAGTGAAGATCTATAAGGGACTGTGCTGGTGACAGTGAAATGCAAAGAAAAGCAATTGCCAGATACCCCTCTCCCTCATCAAATGCATTTGTTCTAAGTAATTACTGATGGTGTGGATGGGGAAAGGGCAGCCCTGTGCAGTACCTGAGGAGGTATAAATCTATATCACCTTTTCAAAAATTGATGTTTTAAATACATGACCACGGAATTCACTACAATTCTTATTACACGTATAAAGATATAACAATTTTTCATATCTCTGGTTGTATATAACGTATGTTGACACAATTCATGTCTTCATACGTGTACTTTAGATAATGATGTCCATCACATTCCATCATCGTTGCTAACACCATGCCCCCTCTTTTCACCTCCCACCCCTCTGCCCTATCTAGAGTTCATCTATTCCTCCCATGCCCCTCCTCCCTACCCTACTATGAGTTAGTCACCTTATATCAGAGAAAACATTCGGCATTTGCTTTTTTGGGATTGGCTAACTTTACTTAGGATTATCTTCTCCAACTATGTCCATTTACCTGCAAATGCCATGATTTTATTCTCTTTAATTGCCAAATAATATTCCATTGTGTATATATGCCACATTTTTTTTTACCCATTCATCTACTGAAGGGCTTCTAGATAGGTTCCAAAGTTGAGCTATTGTGAATTGTGCTGCTATAAACATTGATGAGGCTGTGTCCCTGTAGTATGCTGTTTTTAAGTCCTTTGGGTATAGACTGAGGAGAGGGATAGCTGGGTCACATGGTGGTTCCATTCCCAGATTTCCAAGGAATCTCCATACTGCTTTTTAATTTGCAGTCCCATCAGCAATGTATGAGTGTGCCTTTATTCCCCACATCCTCGACAATACTTATGGTTGTTTGTCTTCATAATAGCTGACATTCTGACTGGAGTGAGATGATATCTTAAAAATTTGCTCCCAAGATGTAGGCTCTCTATTCACGTCACAGATTGTTTCTTTTGCTGAGAAGAAAATTTTTAATTTGAGTCCATCTCATTTATTGTTGGATTTAATTCTTGTGCTATACGAGTCTTATTAAGGAAGTTGGGGCCTAATCCCACATGATGAAGATTAGGGTCTACTTTTTCTTCTACTAGATGCAGAGTCTCTGGTTTAATTCCTAGGTTCTTGATCCACTTTGAGTTGAGTTTTTGGCATGGTGAGAGATAGGGGTTTAATTTCATTTTTTTGCATATGGATTTCCAGTTTTCCCTGCACCATTTGTTGAAAAGGCTATCTTTTCTCCAATGCATGTTTTTGGCACCTTTGTCTAATATAAGATAATTGTAATTTTATGGGTTAGTCTCTGTGTCCTTTATTCTGTACCATTGGTCTACCAGTCTGTTTTGGTGCCAATACCATGCTATTTTTGTTACTATTGCTCTGTAGTGTAGTTTAAGGTCTGGTAGAGTGATGCTACCTGCCTCACTCTTCCTGCTAAGCATTGCTTTAGCTATTCTGGGTCTTTTATTTTTTGAGATGAATTTCATGATTGCTTTTTCTATTTCTATGAGGAATTCCATTGGGATTTTGATCAGAACTGCACGAAATCTGTATAGTGCTTTTGGTAGTATAGTCATTTTGATAATATTAATTCTGCCTATCCAAGAGAAAGGTAGATCTTTCTATCTTCTAAGGTTTTCTTTGATTTCTTTTTTTAGGGTTCTGTAGTTTTCATTGTATAGATCTTTTACCTCTTTCATTAAGGTGATTCAAAGTATGTTTTTTTAAGAGGCTATTGTAAATGGGGTAGTTTTCCTCATTTCTCTCTCAGAGGATTTGTCACTGATATTCAGTAATGCCTTTGATTTATGGGTGTTGATTTTATATCCTGATACTTTACTAAGTTCATTTAGTACTAGGTATAGAATCAAATCATCAGCAAATAATACTAATTTAAGTTTCTCTTTTCATATAATTATTCCTTTAATTTTTTCATCTCTCTAATTGTTCTGGACAGTGTTTCAAGAACTATGTTAAATATAAGTGGTAAAAGAAGGCATCCCTAGCTTGTTCCAGTGTTTAGAGGGAATGTCTTTGATTTTTCTCCATTTATAATGATGTTAGCATAGATATCCTTTATGATGTTGAGATATATTCCTGTTGTCCGTAGTTTTTCTAGTGTTTTGAACATGAAGGGGTGCTTTACTTTGTCAAATACCTTTTCTGCATCTATTGAGATGATCATATGATCCTTGTTTGAATCTATTGATGTGATGAATTACATTTATTGATTTCCTTATGTTGAACTAACCTTGCACCCCTGGTATGAATCCCACTTGATCATGGTGCACTATATTTTTGATATGTTTTTGTATTTGATTTGCCAGAATTTTATTGAGAATTTTCACATCTATGTTCATTAGAGATATTGGTCTAAAGTTTTCTTTCTTTGATGTATCTTTGCCTGGTTTGGGGATAAGGGTGATACTGGCCTCATAGAATGAGTTTGGAATGCTGCCTCTTTTTCTATTTCCTGAAATAAATTGAATAGTATTTGTATTAGTTCTTCTTTAAAGGTCTTGTGGAACTTGGCTGTGTATCCATCCATTCCTGGGCTTTTCTTGGTTGGTAGACTTCTGATGGCGTCTTCTATTTCATCACTTGATATTGGTCTGTTTAAATTGTGTATATCTTTTTTATTCAATCATATGACTTAAGAAATTTGTTGATGCCTTCAATGTCTTCTATTTTATTGGAGTATAAGACTTCAAAATATCTTCTGTATTTCTGTAGTGTCTGTTGTGATATATCCTTTTTCATCACATATGCTGGTAATTTGAGTTTTCTCTCTCCTTTTGTTCATTAGTGTAGCTAAGCTAAGGGTCTGTCAATTTTATTTATTTTTTTAAAAAAACAACTTTTTATTTTGACAATTTTTTCAATTGTTTCTTTTGTTTCGATTTCATCTCTAATTTTAATAATTTCTTGCCTTTTACTGCTTTTGCTGTTGATTTGTCCTTCTTTTTAATAGGGCTTTGAGATGTAATGTGAGGTCATTTATTTGTTGACTTTTTCTTCTTTTAAGGAATAAACTCCATGCAATGAACTTTCCTCTTAGTACTGCTTTCATGGTGTCCCAGAGATTTTGATATGTTGTGTGTATGTTCTTATTTACCTCTAAGAATTTTTTATTCTCCTCCTTGATGTCTTGTGCAACCCATTGTTCTTTCAGTAGCATATTGTTTAGTTTCCAGGTGTTGGAGTAATTTTTATTTTTTTATTTTGTCATTGATTTTCAATTTCATTCCATTATGATCTGATAAAATGCATGGTAGTGTCTCTACTTTTTTATATTTGCTAAGAGTTGCCCTGTGGCATAATATATGGTCTATTTTGAGAAGGATCCATGTGCTGCTGAGAAGACAGTGTATCTGCTTGATGCAGTCTAAGTTATTGATTGTGTTATTGAGCTCTATAGTTTCCTTATTCAACTTTTGTTTGGAAGATCTATCCAGTGGTGAGAGAAGTATGTAAAAGTCACCCAAAATTATTGTGTTCTGGTCAATAATCTCAAGTTCTTGAACTTGAGAAGAGTTTGTTTGATGAACATAGCTGCACCATTGTTTGGGGCATATTTATTTATGATTGTTATGTCTTGTTGGTGTATGGTTCCCTTGAGCAGTATGTAATGTTCATTTTTATCCCTTTTAATTAACTTTGGCTTGAAGTCTACTTCATTTAATATGAGTAACCCCTGCTTGCTTCCGCAGTCCGTGTGAGTGGTATGATTTTTTCCAACCTTTCACCTTCAGTCTGTATATGTCTTTTCCTATTAGACGAGTCTCCTGGAGGCAGAATTTTTTAAAAAATCCAATCTGCTAGGCTGTATCTTTTGATTGATGAGTTTAAGTCATTAACATTCAGGTTTGTTTTTGAGACATGGTTTGTATTCCCAGCCATATTTGTTTATTTTTTTGTTATTTAACTTGGCTTGAATTTCTTCTTTGATTAGTTTTTCTTTTAGGGTACTACTTCCCTCTGCTGATTTTCATTGTTATTTTTCATTTCCTCTTCATGGAATATTTTTCCAAGGATGTTTTGTAGTGCTGGTTTTCTAGATATAAATTCTTTTAGCTTTTGTTTATAATGGA